ATAGTTCAATATCTAATTTGAATTAAACAATACATAATTTTGCGTTATCATAGAAAGACGAATGTATCTTGGAAGTATATTGAAATCACTGCGTTAGAAGTAGGTGAAAAAAGTTAGAAATTGTGCCATAACACACACAACCTGCGTACATTGCGAGCAAAATAAAACTTATAATTATAAATTGTTTATTCTATTCAATCAGTTTTTTACTTTCTCGTATACGGAGTATAGAGAAAGTATTGTAATCGTGCAAAAACAAAATCGAGGTTTTTACAAATCTCGACGTTTTACATCTCTCTGAGTCGGAAAACAATATAGTTTTGCCACCTTGTTCGTATGTCTGTGTGTGTGTGTGTGTGTGTAAACACGATAACTTGAGTATCGTTACAGCTAGATGAATGAAATTTTATATATTAGTATAATATCAAATGTGTAGATCCGTATCAACTTTTCAGCGATTTCCTAATACGGAAAGTGGAACGTTTTCTACTTTCAATTTTTAAAAAGCCTATAACTTTAGTAGTGTTTTAGATAGATAAATGAAATTTCACATACAAGTAAAAGATCTAATTTTCTGTCTTCTTTTAACTTTTGGGTAATTTCTGTTGAACGAAAATAGTGATTTGCGCTATTTCCGATTTCTCAAAAAACGCATGTGAATTTATAAAGTACTCATAATTAAAAAGTAATTAAAATGGATTAACAATAATGTCTATATCCCGAGTTGCCATCCCCCGTAGTGGTATATAAGAATATTTGAGAAAGTTTAGGGGAGATCACTCCCGGTTTATTTTTAACTTGCTGATTGCGTAGCATGGTAGTTATGTAATAAAATAGCGATCACATTATATAGATGAAAATAGGTTCATAGTAATAAAATAAATAATAAAATATATATATATCACAAGGAGAATGCAATAATTACTTTGGAACCACTGAATACGAAATTTGAAACATCACCCACCTAGCCTCGGATGAATTGTTTCTTTATCGAGGCAATACAGAGTATTTCAATAAAATGCTCGGTATTATTTTGGCCAAACATTTTGTTGTTAACACTGAAAACGCCGCAAGCACAAACCTTATTTTGACAGTAAACATTACTGTTGGTGTCACCAAGGTACAATAATTCAGCTTGTTACCAGCTTTTATTTAACTTGCTTCCTCGGTCGTCACGTCTTCATAGAAAAGCGTTAGTCTCTTCCTAAATTTTATTTAAGGTACCAAATAGATAATATAGTGACCACCGTTTTTCTTTATAGTTATTTAAATAGTAGTTTATTTAAAGAAAATCATTTATATCACCGTATAGTCCATTATTACATAAACATTTTAATGAATTTAAAAAAAAAATCATCCATTTGATCTTTATTTTAAACGGGGACGTTCTGAAGAGATAAAGAATGTGAAGCAAGAGGAGGTAACAAATGATTTACAGACGTTACATTTAAAATGGGTTACGTTCCCTGACAACAAATGTCTGTGAATTGAGAAAGTAATCCAGGAGCTACTCTTGTTATCAGTTGACAAATGTGTTTTTTAAAATAATAGTCATAGAGCGGAGCATGTTATTCGTAGAATGCAGGCAAGAGAAACATTACTAATGTTTCTTCTCTTCTTCTTCGTTCTTAATTGAGACTTTGGTGGAGGATTTAGACAACAAGTCCAACTTCGTGAACAAACCGGACTGTGGTCTCCAGATTGGCAGGTGCCCCATATAATTTTTCCCTGAGTGGGGTGAGCAGGGGCCAGTGTCTGGCTCGCGCCTGGCTATACAAAGAACATTCCTGAAAGACGTGCTCCGTATTTTCCGGGGCCTTGCCACAAGGGTACATTTCGCCACACCCAACCTTTAGTTTTTTATGCATGTGTTGATTTAGTCTGTTATGGCCTGTTCTAAGTCGAAAGAATATGTATTGTTGTTTTCGTGTCAAATTATAATATCCATCATCTTTATTGTAGTGAGGGTGTGTGTCAGACCACATTTGCGTTTGTTTGTTTTTTTATTATTCTTTTTATTTCTTTTGGGTGTAGCGTGATTTCCGGTTTATTGTTTCTTTCCCCCAATTTTTGCCAGCTGGTCCGCAATCTCATTACCCTGGATCTGGCAGTGGCCCGGGATCCACTGCAGCACAATTCTGCTACAGGTATTTATTAGCCTTTCTAGTGCTGTCCTAAGTGATTGCGTATAGGACTCTGGATTTTTTAGGGATTGCAGGACAGATTTGGCATCTGTAAGAAATACTATCTGACAATTTGGTGATTCAGGGTGTTCTGACAGGAGGTTTGCTGCATGCTCTATAGCTTCTTTTTCTGCCCTAAAATTGTCGGATAGGCTGCCTGTGGCTATTGACTTTTCCAGGCATTCTCTTCTTGGCCATTCAATAAGGACGCCAGCCCCGCCATTTACTAATGTTTAAAACAGTATATTTACTGTATGATACACAGTGGCGGAACTAGAAAAAAGCCCCCCCCCCCCTCTACCACACAATGTTTTAGCGACAAAAGCTTTTAGTAAAGAAGGTAAATTAGTTTTATTTAGGAACTTCATAACCGACAGGCCTGTCAAAGGAATTAAACACGGAGGTTTGATAGGTGTTATGATTTCCCGTGTACGTTTTATTCTGATATTTTTTCGCGATTATATTATTAATCTTGAATACATACCTTTTTATAGCTCTGTCAGTATATAGTATACCTTATTTTAATAATAATTAAGAGAAGAAATTGTTTTTAATTTTCTGAGTTCAGAACTATTAAAATGAATTTTTTGGGAACCCCTATTTTACTATATCAAGAGGAGCGATATGTCATGGAAGTGGTTTGAAGGTTTCTCTATCTTTCACAATAGAGCTCACGTAGTTTGTGTTTTTCCTACGAAATAGTGTGTGTTAGTTACTGTACAACAATCACCGCTGCAGTAGATCTGCTGTTTTCTTTTTCACAAAATCGCTAGTCTATCATTGTGAAAAAAAAATACTTTTTTTGTGTTTAGTCGGATTTGGGTACCCCTTAAATGGCCACAGGTAGTTATTTCTATTTAGCTTCTACATTATTACACAGCGGACTAATATAAAAATAACCTTTGCAAATATATAAAACAAAATACAGAAATAAATAACCAAAAAAATAAAATGTACATATATTTTTAAAAAATTAATGTTTTTATTCGTTTTTTGCATTCATTACAATGTATTATGTGTAAAATATAGGGTAAATGGCACACTAGGAAAACAAAAAAAAAATTAAATACGTCGGTTAAATTAAGTTAAAACAAAAACGAATAGGTATAAAAAGGTTAATCATCACACTGTAAAACTCTAGTGGAGTTTGTTTTGTTTTTTTTCTTGTTGTTTTTTTTTTTCAAATAAAAAATTTTGGTCATTAAAAGAGTTTTTTAAACAATGTGAACAGTACAGGGACTAGCCTATACAATGTCAAACAAAAACCGTCAAAAATTATACAAAAAACAACAGTCAGTGCAAAAAGACGCTATTCAGTCTCGACAAGTTTTAAAATTGAAATGCTAACATGGGTTCAGCATGGTTATATTGCTCTTGAGATTGAGAAGTTAATCATTTTTCTCACACTTCAGTTTCGATGATAGGTAAGATTTCATTGCATCGTTTGGGTTATAGCACTTTCATATAAACTTAGTGTTAGGCAACTTGCTCTGCGGTTTTAAAATATTTAATAAAATATAATACTTTATTTAATTTGTAATGAGACAGAAAATTAAAATTAACTATTTCGATAGAATCAGGAGAATTAGATCTTACACCTACGTTTAACATTTCGTCTACACAACTGAAACGCTAATCAAGTTATCGGCATGGTAGAACACAGAAATAAAGTACAACATCCGTTTATTGAAGATCACTAAAACATTGAAAAAAAATCCTAGTAAAATATGGAACAGTGCTCAAGTTATTATTTTCACATGGCAATAGAATAAACTACAATTTTCTACTGGAATTCGTTCAAAATTTTAAAGAAACATGCGCTTATAATGTGTTACTTATATGTAGATTTCCTCCACCTAAAGGAAATGGTACTCAAGTTATAGGCTTTTTAGAAACCGGAAGTTGAATAAGTACCACTTTAGGTTACCGACAATCGTTCATATATTAAAACATAGCTACGTATTCGATATAATATCTAAATATCAAATTTCGTCAATATAAATGAAACGGTACTCCGTGTTCACAAACAGGCAGACAAGACACAGACAAAAACATACAGACAAAATTGCGAAGCCCAGTTTTTCAGACGCGTTAAACTCTGAGATTTTTGTAACAGACTGTACTTTTGGTATTGTTTATTTATATTATATTTAGCATGGACTTGTATGAAAGTAGAGTACCTGGTCAACGGACGGACTGTGTGAGCGACTAATCATGTTTTTCCATGCTTTTTCTTACATCGCTCACTGACGTTAGGGGAGAGAATGAAAGGTATAAAAGGTGAGCGTAAGGTGGACAAGGTGTGCCTGAATAGAAGAATGTAAGCCGTTACTCTGTTGTGGACTATTCGTGGATTATCATTACTATTATTATTCTTGATGGATATTCTTATTACTGTAAGTAAAGTTGGAAGATGAAAGAACTGTTCATCGTCTCTATTAAAGAAATAACTCACAATAACAACGTATTGTCACATTTACAAATATGCGTTGTTACAATTTTGATCAATATGGGTTTAGAATTTATTTTCGCCCAATTAAAATAAGTCCCCTATACTCTGTATATGATGTGCTGATGTGTAGAACGGTATAAACTGTCAAAATTTCGTGTGATTTATGTGCACGATCACAATACTTCCTCTTTTGGCCTACTCTGTATACGAGAAAGTAAAAAGGTGACACTCTACGACACCTGAACTTACATGCAGGCATGGGGGTGAGACGGGAGTGGGTAGGTGGGCTGTCGCGTGTGATCACGTGATGTGCAAAAACCTTCTTTGTTTTTTAAACAGTTGACATTCTTAAAACATGACGCCAACTCAACAGCAAGGCCTCGTCATCAGTTATTCTCTCAAGCTGAATTAAGACGTTGGTTTTTGGTTGAAATAGAACATTTTAAGCATGATGGTCACAATGTTTTATAGCATTCTTTTGTTCTGGTTTTTTACAAACAGACCTCAATCAAGTAAGCCGTTCATATATTATAACTCACATTTCAGTGAAACGTTCTTATGTTATAGAACAAACTTCTACTCGATATAATATATATATAACAATAGGCACATGAATATTCATTAAAATAATGTTGAAAGGTTTTCTTATTTGCATATTTATTTTTAATTTTTCTATTCGTATGATAGTCGAGTACATGTTTATGATATAGGTCAACTTTTTACCTTGTTATTAAATACACCATGTTACATGAAATAAACTAAGAATGTTGACTTGTGAAAACATTGTAAAGGCTTTACGCGATTTGTTGTCAACCAGGATGTGATTTAACACAATAATAATGTCAAACTGTGTTCTAACAATAGGTTATATTTAACCAAGATATAAATAGAAAGTTTTGTTTACAAAACATGTAGGCCTACACTTTGGTCATGTTTTAACACAGTAACACCCATTAATGGTTGGCTTGTTACAAAGAAACGTCTTCATTTTCTAGAATTCTATTGCTTTTACAAGAGCATTTGTTGACTAGACAATACTTTCACCGTGCATGATGCTTCTCTAGACCATTGCCGTATAGTCTAAAATCTAAAACAATATCAAACATCATGTTTGGTACTATCTGAGGTTGCAGAAGCTGCTGAAAGAAATCAAGCATTGTTAATCATAAAGGGAATCCACACGTATTCTCTCTACTAGATGGGTTGGTGTCCCTAGCTATTGAGATATATATATATATATATATATTATATATATATATATATATATATATATATATATATATATATATATATATATATATATATATATATATATACCTCCATATATGACTGTGTTGTATTACAATTATTTCTTGTTCTTCTGGTTATTTTTATAAGCTGTTTGTGAAATAGTGAGTCCAAGTGTGATTGTAAATGGACAAATATTTACTGTGACATGTGACGCGTCACGTGCTGGTGTTCCAGCTACGGCTACCACTATAACGACGTTGTTCATAGGATGGACAGCGCAGACATCTCAAGAACCTGAAACTTTGGCAAGATACAGGATTTATTTATCGCCATACACAGTGAGATTTATTCGATTTTTATAATTTTCTTACATACATATTTAGATATAGTCGCTTGTTTCTAACTTATTATTATTGCGACGATATAAGGTTAATAGTTAAATAATTTAATTATTTTCTGCCACAGGTTTAAAATAATTGTATTAATGTAATTATGCAAAGCCACAAAGTCAAATATTATTGTATTTAATTAGTCCCAGCCACAAACTTCCCCTGCAAGAAACTGGACATTTGCATTTACTGGAAGCCAACAAGGAACATCAGATACACCAAACAACAGGAACACGATGAAAATAGAAATGGTGGTCTATGATGCTAAATGTGCAGATGCTGGCGTCTACTATTGTAATGCCGGGTATATAGATTTCCAAGGAGACGTCGTATTGATAAAACAATACCAGAATATCAGCAGCTATGGTACTGTGTCGTTATTCAGTTCTTTAAATAAACTGCCCATTACATCTTTAGAGCTGCATGCTTTTATCTTGTAATACATTTTTTTTTATTGTCAAAACAAGACTGATTACTTCTTTGTTTTAGAACATATTTACTTTAAAAAAATGTTCAACAAAAAAAACGTCTATTTACAAGGTTGATGAAACATGACTTTTACACTTAACTTGTATTATTTTAGCAATTTCGATCAGAGCCTAAGGAGTTTTCTGTTTACTTTTTCTTATTTTCAAACAGCCCGAGTAGATCCCTTATCCCTGATTTTAGTTCCCCAGTTCCCGGGACAGGAACCCGGTACCTCAGTTAATCCTGCAGGGTCTAATCTTACTTTGACGTGTAATTTGTATGTGAGTTGGATATTTTCACTTTCTTACATTGGCTATTAAAAAACCAATGTAGATGATATTACAAATGTAAAACTATAAACTATAATAACTGTAATATCATGGGAATTTCAATTAGAAGTAAGCCACTTGTTGCTGTTCTTAATGTATTATTATTAAAATTAGTATAAATAAATGACATTTTGAAAAAATAAATTACTAGCAGGAATTTAATTAAGAAAAATGTGTGAAATATGGATTGCAATTTAATAAATTAAAACATAGGAAATAACGATTTGATTTTGAAGTTGTTCTGATATGAATTACGTTCTGTGTAACGTGTATTAAACATTACATTTTCTGTAATATCAGGGTCCGAAAGTCATAGTCGTTCAATGGAAGTACGGCCATTCTAGCTCTGATGTCAATAGTTTCACGTCATATCCTTTACAAAACGATATAACAGTTGCTGAACCTGTGCTGGTCAGTTCTGGGACAACCTGTGTCCAGTACCGTCATACGTCAACACTGAAGTTTCAAACAGAAGACATGTATGATGGCTACATGTATGTGTGTGTGGCTACAGAAGACAACAGAGACACAATTGTTGGATACATGACGATATTCACAAAACCCAGTAGCTATAGCTCTATTTGATCTTTTAGCATTCATTTATCTGTTTTGATTTCGTTTAATTTATATTCTATTTTGTAAATTACATTTGTGTTATGGGTATATGTTTCTGGAGAGTGTATTTTGTTTTAATGGTGTTTCGTAAGATCTCAAGTTATATATATATATATATATATATATATATATATATATATATATATATATATATATATATATAATGTACAAAGATAAACCATTACGTATATCCACGTTAATTATTCTGGTATAAATAATAAATACTATTAATTATTGCATATTACCGTGTGATGTAATTTTAAAGTTCTTTCATTTAATGTTCTTGTTTTTTAAAAATTAGATTACAGAAGCGTCTATGTTAGCAAACGGTGATACGTCGCTTTACCTGTTGCTCATACCTGTAGCTGTCGTCATAGCTGTGACAGTTGGTTTAGCAGCGTGGTATAAACAAAGCAAGTGAAACGAAATACTTTCTCTTTCTTAACTGTATACAAATACACATGATCATGCTCGAACTCATGTTCGTCTACATAGCCATAGCCATAGCCATAGCCATAGCCATAGCCATAGCCATAGCCATAGCCATAGCCATAGCCATAGCCATAGCCATAGCCATAGCCATAGCCATAGCCATAGCCATAGCCATAGCCATAGCCATAGCCATAGCCATAGCCATAGCCATAGCCATAGCCATAGCCATAGCCATAGCCATAGCCATAGCCATAGCCATAGCCATAGCCATAGCCATAGCCATAGCCATAGCCATAGCCATAGCCATAGCCATAGCCATAGCCATAGCCATAGCCATAGCCATAGCCATAGCCATAGCCATAGCCATAGCCATAGCCATAGCCATAGCCATAGCCATAGCCATAGCCATAGCCATAGCCATAGCCATAGCCATAGCCATAGCCATAGCCATAGCCATAGCCATAGCCATAGCCATAGCCATAGCCATAGCCATAGCCATAGCCATAGCCATAGCCATAGCCATTGCCATAGCCATAGCCATAGCCATAGCCATAGCCATAGCCATAGCCATAGCCATAGCCATAGCCATAGCCATAGCCATAGCCATAGCCATAGCCATAGCCATAGCCATAGCCATAGCCATAGCCATAGCCATAGCCATAGCCATAGCCATAGCCATAGCCATAGCCATAGCCATAGCCATAGCCATAGCCATAGCCATAGCCATAGCCATAGCCATAGCCATAGCCATAGCCATAGCCATAGCCATAGCCATAGCCATAGCCATAGCCATAGCCATAGCCATAGCCATAGCCATAGCCATAGCCATAGCCATAGCCATAGCCATAGCCATAGCCATAGCCATAGCCATAGCCATAGCCATAGCCATAGCCATAGCCATAGCCATAGCCATAGCCATAGCCATAGCCATAGCCATAGCCATAGCCATAGCCATAGCCATAGCCATAGCCACTGCCACAGCCACAGCCACAGCCACAGCCACAGCCACAGCCACAGCCACAGCCACAGCCACAGCCACAGCCACAGCCATAGCCATAGCCATAGCCATAGCCATAGCCGATGTTACTAGTTACGCGATTGTCTGTTTCATTTCAGGAACAGGACGTAGCAATGCTTCAAACCGCAGACCAAGTGAATCAATGTCCAATGCCTTTTGTCCACCGACGGACAATGATGGATACATGCTGCCCGTTCGTACTGTCGGGAGCCACGGCATAACACGGGATGCAGCTGGTGTTAGGGAGAGCACCGTGTCAGCATACACACACGGACCAAAACTAGGGGACGAGCAGCACGTCTACAGCAGCATAGACGACCCAAGCGACGCTCAGTGTGATCGAAACAATGACGACATAGACTTTAATCGAACGCAGAATTCAGCAGTGGCCAATATCGACGATTCACATTTGGACGAGACGGCAAGCGAAAATCACAACACAGCGAATGTTTATGACACACTTGAAAGAAATTTGGATTCTCAAACTGACAATCATTATCTGAGTCCCACATTTTGATTCTGTCATTGAAGAATATTTTACGTTACATCACAGAAATGTTTATACAAAATGTTGTAAATAATTAAAAATAATTCGCTATATAAATCCTTAACCGAGTGTGAAGAAATGTGTAAACGTGTCGTTTTTTTTTTCTTCTGGTAAATGTAATTATATTTTGAAAATTTAAACAGCATAAAAGCTAATATCAGCAAAAATAAAACAAATTTAAAATAACATTTCTAATGCCAATACATATTTTAGCAACTAAAGCTTTTATGCAATATAGCAAGTTAGTTTTATTTTCTTTTTTTTCAGTGCATATACAAGCTTATTTAGGTTATTTTATATGCTTTTAATGTTCTACTTTTTAGTAATTAATCATTTATAAATTTAACACTACCAATGCTGCGACTAGAAATATTTTCTTTAAAACACTATCAGTAGCTCGCGAGATCTAAAAGACGATTATCTGCTCCTTGAAAAGCAGCTTAACGTAACAATATTTTAGAGTTCTTAATTTTTTTACCTCCCTTTAGTCTCAAATTGCTTTAAAACTGCGTCTTATAGCCTTCACTAGATCGACTTGTTGTACAATTGTAAACAAACAGACGTTGTGAAATAAATAAAAGCTTGTAAAATAAAAATAAAAAACACGAGTCACTTGTTTAGAACGCAGACGTCCTCGCACACCCCCCCCCCCCCCCCAACCCGCCTTTTTTCTAGACTCCAAGGCCGCAATATTTTTTTTCTTAGTGTTCTGCACAGCGATTATCTTGTTGACAAGCGAAATAGCTCTTTACAATCTTCTCCTCAAGTTACGTCCCTTCACTGCACTGTAATCTAGTAAAACCAGAACAACTTGTTTTGTTCAAGCGATCTACCTGCTTTATTTACCTGTATGCTTCTACACGCTCGACAGTTAGGAAAGCATTCTCTGGCCCTGCTCAAAACAAAGCTTACAATGGCAAGCAACGCTTTGTTCGGCTTAGCTGTGTTGCTGATATATGGATCTAGGTCGACAGGTTGGTTGCTTTCGTTGTTTTATGTGCTCTCTATTATTTTATCTCTCTTTTTATCTCGTCTCTCTCTCCATTGATATATATATATATATATATATATATATATATATATATATATATATATATATATAAACATATATATATATATATATATATATATATATATATATATATATATATATATATATAAACATATATATATATATATAAACATATATATATATATATATATATATATATATATAAACATATATATATATATATATATATATATATATATATATATATATATATATATATATATATATATATATATATATATATATATATATATATATATATATATATATATATATATATATACTAGTGTTCCAGTCCCGCTGTGGCTGCGGACTTACGCAATACTTTCAGAGGATTTCATCAAATAGTAACCAATTGTGTATTTTGAGACGCGTGGTCTTTCGAAAACAGTTATTGATACGGAAACAAAACAGGCGCTATAGTTCTTGAATCAATGTTGTTGGTGCGCGGGTTTGATTACGCTACCAAACACCCCAGAGCGAGCGAGCATTATAAAAACCTTACAAGTACTAACCTCAATCATATTGAGGTAGAAAACACTTCGGCGGCCGCCCAAGTGTTAGAGACGTAGAGGGGCGCTCTCTGGAGCCCCTGTTACACTACCGCATGGGCGCCGCGTAGGGCCCTTTCTTGGTTTAATCATCGAATGTCGTGTGCCACCGTGACAATATTGTAGCGTGCTCTTTAAAACTAACGTAGGAATCATAGTGCTCTGAGGATAGCTCAGGGAGCCAAATAGCACCAGTGGCGCCGGCTGACGCACCTGATTCAATTTAGTGAACGACTATAATACCCCGTCTTATCCATATTCCATCGCACTGTTTAAAATGAACGTAGGCGCCATAGCGCTACGGAACTTATCCAGGAGTATTCTTAACATCTTCGCAAAGTTTCGTGGCGATTGGATACTAAAATATTCAACGGAAAATCTATAAAGGCGCAGCCGCTGGCGCCGCTGATATTACGTGACTGAAGCGCCACGAACTCCACTGTCAGCACTATGGCGCCTACGTTCGTTTAAAAAAAGACTTTGATGTGCAGCAATAATCGTTGACTATATTGAATCAATATAGGACTTAAGCTCGTTTTAAAGATTGCGATAGACTATGTATACAATGGGTTGCTAAAGTCGCTCACTAAATCGAGCCATGCGTATCCCCGGGCTTTCACGTGAGCACTATGGCGCCTACGTAAATATTGACACGGTGTCCCACGACATTTGATGATTAAACTGAGCAAGGTGCGTTATGTGAAGCCCCTGTGATAGTGTAACCTGACACATGGGAGGACGATGAATTGTGTTCCCCCTCAGTGTTACGGAAAGAGATTACTCAAGGCTTTCAGACAGCGGTAGTGTAGGTAAACCCTTGCCCCAACAAATATGATACAAGAAATATTGTGCAGGCATTGTTTACATTTAAATAACTCAGTTTTAGAAAATAACACCACACGTCTAAGAATATAAGATTGGTAACGCATTGATTAAACCCTCTTAAAATATTTCGTCAGAATTTCTACTAGCCCCGCGGCAATAGGCGAGGACGGGCACGCGAGTAAGGCTATATAGTATATAATAAGTCTTATGTTTTGACTATAATCTTTGTTGTGGAGGTACATTCTAATAAAAACACTATTTGGCCAGTCGTTAGTCAAACCACTAAAGGTGATTTAGTCAGTCCCAGTGTCATAGAGGAAGGCGGAACTTTTACTGTGACATGTGACGCGTCACGTGCTGGTGTTCCAACAAATGTCACCACTATCGTGTCCTTGACTATTGCGTCGCTATATGGGGGGACGCGGCCAAAAACTTTGGCAAGATACAGACTGTACCCACCTCCATACCAGTCTCAAGTGAGTTTTGTCTCTCTCTCTCTCTCTCTCTCTCTCTCTCTATATATATATATATATATATATATATATATATATATATATATAGAGAGAGAGAGAGAGAGAGAGAGAGAGATTTAGGCCTACGTGTATTGTATTGTTTTATAACGTATTATACTATGTTTTTAAGAATCTGTAACTTCATCCGTAGCTACCACCAATAACTTCACCTGCAAGAAACTGGAGCTTTCAATTCACTGGTAGCCTATTCGCAACATCTGATAGACCACTTAACAGGAACACGATTAAAATAGAAATTGTGGTCAATGATGCTAAATGTTCAGATGCTGGCTTGTATTTCTGTAACGCGACGTACCTAAATGAAAACGATGATGAAACGACAGCAAGCAGCTATCAAAATATCACCAGCAGAGGCAAGTGGGATCAATGTATTACACAAACACTATAGTCTAGTCCAGTGCCTTTGCATGTGTACTTTTTAATCAAATCACATTAATTTGTGTTATAACGTAACATGTATCTCATTTGTACTTAAAATAAATTTTAATATTTTTCTTAAATACGATATAAATTTATTGTTGCTAAATGTATTAATGAGGGTGATTAAATTTTTCTTCTATTTTAAGCCTAAGAAGTCCTGCACCAACCTTCTAATTCCATTTTCTATTGATGTTATTTTAAAACAATACAGCCAGAGTTGTTCCTCAGTCCCTGGTGTTAGTGCCCCAGTACGAAGAGGATCTGGGGCCATACAAGTCATTCAATCGTGCAGGGTCTAATATTACCTTGACGTGTAGGGTTAACGTGAGTTTGATATTGTCTGTTTATAACCATAGCCTTTACCCACACACACACATACATAATCTGATCAATACATATGTTGCTACAGTTTTATTCATTTTTAATTTTGATCAGGCTCCAAAAGCTTTAACCTTTACCTGGAAGTACGGCCCTTCTAGTTCTGACGTCAACAGTTTCACGTCATATCCTGTACAAAATGCTATATCAGTTTATGAACCTTTTCAAATCAGTTCTGGGACAACCTGTGTCCAGTACCGTCATACGTCAACACTGAAGTTTCAAACAGAAGACATGTATGATGGCTACATGTATGTCTGTGTGGCTAGAGCAAACTATAGAGACACAATTGTTGGCAATATGACAATATACACTAAACAAGGTAATCATAGTTATTTATTCTAAGTTAGGTATATGTATAACAATTCTACACCATTGCAGTCAGAGTTTCAAAAGTAAGACATTTTTGTTAACTGCATGAATATAAGCATGTGTGCATCAAACAACGATTACACGCCTACACGATATGGAACATGTGGGTTACAAATATATATTTAATTTCTTTTTCTCAAGGTATTTTTTAATTTTTTCTTTTATTGTAAATCGACTGTGTCCTCTGATACTATGCGTTATTTTCATTTTATTATGCACAGTTATCATAGTTTAGAAAGTAAATTTGCAATCAGCGAAAGTAACACATTGAAAATAACGAGAGAGATAATCTCACAAAACTATGGTATCAAACAGGGATTTTTTAATTTGCATAATTATTAATGAAAATCTCATTTCAATTACACCAGCTCCTTAGATAGCATATCAACAGACACATGTACAAACATTGATTTAGGTAAAGTTTTGTTTTTAACTGGTTAACGTCTATCACTCGAGCTTCATCTCCTAAGTCAACAGACGTCCACATCTCGTGGTTGGTTAAATTCTAGTAGCCAATTAAAGTATTTTCTACATCTCAATGTGTGATTGGTCATTAGACCAGCAATTGTTTACATCTTTGTTGCGATATTATGTGCAGTGTTGAGCTCGACTCGGTAGTGATACATAGTTCCACTCCGTCGTCATTTTTCAAAATATATCTCATGACGGCCATGAAAGCGTGAAGACGCTGGTTAATTCTAAATAAGTTCACACGTTCAGGGTCTTTGACGCTTTAAATAAAACAATTTATTTTATTTTGGTGGTAAAGCAATCACTTTTTGTTACTGTATCTCCAAGAAAATTTAGGTTTTAGGTCCCGCTTCTGAATATTAACTTACGATCTAGGGTCAACTACATTATTATATTCTTGACTAATCTGAACATTAATACCGCCGTTAATAAACCAATGAAAGGCCACGGATAGTTCAGATAATAATTTATTGCCGTCAACACACTTGTTCAAGACAAAAAATAACTTCAGTTGTTTACTAAACTTTCTCCGATATAGGCCCTACCTCATTTAGCTTACACTGTCTAAATTATCATAAGTTACCCTTTTGAAACTAGAAGTCCATAGGCAAATGTTTTCTGTAACCTCGTCATATGAAGGACTAGTAGGGTAAGCTTTATGCCCCGCCGTCTTTACTTTCTAGAGCGTAGTTCAGGTACCGTCAGGGCTGGGTGGACTCAGGGTTATCCTACCGACTGAATCGTATGACACGAGCCTGAAAGTTTAGCAGACGTGTTCTCTACCACCTACCCAGGCCGTTACATTAAGAAACTTAAAATCAATTTAAAATGTATTGTTGACAAAATTAAATACTAGGAGTGAGTAGACACAAATAGAAACATGATAATGACATATTATGAAAATGTACTTTAGTAAAACTATTTTCTCATCGTCCGTATGTTATTGACATATATTGGTTTTTTTTAAAATCTCTAGTGCCCCAAAGTCCTCCTGCAGGCCAAAAGTGATAGAATAACACAAACGTGGTACAAGAAGTTACGTGAAAAATTCAGTAAAATCGTGAAACTCTACGTCACGTAACACTTTTTTATATATCTTAATTTTTTTTTTGTAACAAAATTGGTAAGAAATATAATACATCCAGATTTGTGTTAAACATTTACAATTATTGGATAATGTAGGAAAATTAATTATGTATATGCATAAAAAATTTTGAATTAATAAATGTATGCAAAACTTTGTTGTTTTTTTTTTTCTTGAGATTTCAACCTACAGCTTATTTACTTAGAAGGTATTGTATGCAAAGCTGAACAAAATATTCATTATAAGACACCTTTTTATTGTTTTTTATACACATTGTACACCTATGGATAAAACGGCAAGTTCTTTAGAACAAAAAATATGTTACATTTGTTTTACTTAAGCAGGATAAAATCTTTTATTTCTTGTCCTTTTCTTTATCTTGTTGGTTGTGAGTTTTTCATTTAATTTTTTCTTGACATTAGAACATTTTAAAAAGCTTTAAGTCATTTTTCTCAACCATGTGATTTTTAAAAATGTGTTAAACACTCGATTTATTTGTTAATTTTTAAGATAATTAGATTATTAATTATTAATATTTACTTGGTTTACCGTACGATGGAATTTACAGCTTCAAATAAATGTATAAATTAACATAATATAAAACATAACTGAATAACTTATAGTGTACCCAAAATATTCTAAAATTTTGTTTTAAAACTAGTAACACTAAACTTTGACTAGACAGGGCGACTGTTGACCTAAGCTCGTCAATTCTATTGATCAGCTTATGTTAAGTGTTTTTCTCACGTTACTATAGTTAAAATATTATAATTTTATCAAAAAACAATGATTCTGTTACAGATGTTTGTATCTTTTTTTTAAAGACAGCACTACAAATTATAGCAGTCTTTAGTTACATTTGTTTAGAACTAGAGAGTAGGTCGACAAATTAACATAATCAATAATTTAATATTCAGTGATAGCAGAGGTATGCAAAATTACCATAAATCAAATCTTTGTATAAGTAAGAGCGTACTTCAACTCAACTGAATGACGTGTCGTAAAGAGTAGTAGACACACTACAAAACATAAACAATAAAGTTTGTGGTCAGATCCTGGTTGTGTTAGGCTCTTATTTTAGGAATGTTGGATTTCAGGGGCGCTACTATACGTATAAATAAGTTTCAGTAAAAATGCTTCTAAAATTTCAAACTATTACGCAGTCGCTAACAGAAAAACAAATTTACTTTATAAAACGAGTGTTCGGTATTTTAAAAAATATAGTTTAAATTAATAAGGAAAGTATTAAATAACAGCAGTTATTTTATCTTTAAATTAGTAAATACCTACTTCAAATTTACTTTTCACGTATGAATTGGGTAAGAAAACATAATGGCTACCTATTGAAGCTCGACATTGGCACCTCCAAAAAGACACCAAAAGTGGCCGACACAAAAAGTGGCCGACACCACAATTGGCCGACACCACAAGTGGCCGACACCACAAGTGGCCGACACCAAAAGTGGCCGACACCAAATGTGGCCGACACCAAAAGTGGCCGACAACACAATTGGCCGACAACACAGGTGGCCGACACCAAAAGTGGCCGACATCACAGGTGGCCGACATCACAGGTGGCCGACACCAAAAGTGGCCGACACCAAAAGTGGCCGACACCAAAAGTGGCCGACACCAAAAGTGGCAGACAAGTGGCTGTAACCAGATATGACTTGCAGTAAGCGGGTGATTATTACCCAGAGAGGGAAAACCTATGCATATATTACAACACTCTACATCATCAACAATAACTACATGCAACTATGCTAAATTCAGAACGTTTTGATCATATATCTTACTATATAGCGACCGTTTCAAATAGATTTGTTGACAGCGCTTTTAATCTCCATGTAATTTTTTAAAATATTTATTATTAAATCCTTATTTGTGGTTTAGCTTGTTTCAACATCCCAGATGAAAGAATAACGATGATGGCATGAAGATGTTGAAAGGAGAGTAGCTCGCTCACTGCACCAGCCAAGCCCCTGTGTCAGATACCACACCCCTGTGTCAGAGACCACACCCCTGTATGAGAGACCACGACCCTGTGTCAAAGACCACGCCACAGTGTCAGAGACTACACCCCTGTGTCGGAGACCACGCCCCTGTGTCAGAGCCACGCCCCTGTGTCAGAGACCACGCCCCTGCGTCTGAGAGAGATCACGCCCCTGTGTGAGAGACCACGCCACTGTGTCAGAGACCACGCCCCTGTGTCAGACAGACCACGCCCATGTGTCAGAGACCACGCCCCTGTGTCAGTGTCCACGCCCCTGTGTCAGACAACAGTTTCACACCTTCTGGGGCTGGTGGCAGCGTAAACATTCTTTAATGACTCACGACTGTCGTCTTGTTGTGGGCTCAAGATTCAATACCCTAAAACTCGTCAAACAGTTTGTTTTAAAATACCTAAGTTAATACACCTGATTTATGCCTGTTCATGATATTACCGTCACTTGAAACTGAGAGTTTCATCAAACCACTGGTATAAAGCAAGTTGTGGGGCCCGATATAACATATTTTATTTTTTTTCTTTTGTCTTGGTCAAGCAAGGCAATCGTCATTATGCTGAGTGTATTTTTCTTGATTAGCTGCATAGCACAAGGTATTTTTATAATTAATTTTATACTTTTTGCTATTAAATTAGTTAAATATACCTTAACGATACGCTTCGTAATTGGAATCAGAAGATTTTTTAAAAGGAGCATTATGTATATTAATTGTGGCAGTTATATATATATATTTTTTAATTTTTAAATTTAATTTCACATAAGTAAACAGTACGACGCATTTATGAACATAGTTAATTCGACATCAATAAACAGATACAGATATAAATGTAGTTAATTTATTATCAGTAAACAAACTTACAAACGTAGGTACTTTCCCTTTAGTAAACAGCCAGACAATCGTCAGCCCAGGTGTGATTGAGACAGGAGAAACTTTTACTGTGACATGTGACGCGTCACGTGCTGGTGTACCAGCCAATGCTACAACAGTTAGGGAGTTGATTATATTTTGGACAGATGGGACAATATACGCTACTCAAGCTCAATATAGCTTGCGTCTACCCTACATTATTACCGTAAGGATTTTCTTTAAGTCAGTAAAATGTAATTCAGTGTTAGCAATGTTGGTTTTTTGTGTAGATCGTCTTATAGCTTTTCCAATATGTTTTGTGATAAATTTCAACATGATTTGTTTACCTGTATAATATGTTACTGGATAAGTAGCCAAAGCCTAATATTCTATTTGCGATCATTTAATAACATGGTGTTACAAATCAATATTAAAATTTAATAATATATAGTATATGTAATATACTAAAATATAATATACTTTTTAAGATTGCACTTTTAATATTTTTTTTTTACTTTCCTTTAATGACTGTGTTTAAACGTTGTATTGCTTATAGAATTAAATTTTAGAAAAGTTGTGATAAAAAAATTGGATTTTTTGTGTGTGTGTGAATAATATTAATTATTATGAAAATAATAATTATACTTTGAAAATTATGAAAAGCTGAAGGTATTAAACATTACAGTACAAAACCTTTTAAACTACGAAGAATATATTATTGGCGGGTTTTATGTATAAACAAAGCTGTTAATTCTCTGACAAAAAATATGCTCAAGTCTCCTCATGTACTAATTTTGATTAACATTATTTTCCTATAGCTCTGTAATTATAGATAATTATATTTGAACATTTATTTCTAGTATCCGCCCGATACCTCACCAGAGAGAATCTGGAATTTTAAATTCAACGGCAGTTTGCGAGAAACATCGGAGAGACCAAACAACAGGAACACAATGCAGATAGAAATTGTTGTCAAAGATGCTGTGTGTTCAGATGCTGGCTTGTTCGCCTGTCAGGCGTTCTATTACAACTCAAACAATCAATCAACGCAGAGTTATCGGGAGCAAAATGTTACGAGTATAGGTAAGTTATTTAGGAATATTTAGCAGTATAACATGGGCTTCTTATTTTACATCATAGCACTAGGATCTAAGAAGACTGACTGTTTATGTGGTGTATCCTCGTATTAAAGTTTGATTAAATTGATTAATTTATTATTGTGTTTTCAACATGTTAGCCCATTATATTTGTTTACAAAGTAACTATTTAAATGTACCTACTGTAATTGATGAATACATCAAACCGTTTAGTAACTACGATCTTCAAACTAAAAATACACCGATGACTTACATTCACTCAATGTTGATGATATTTTACGACATTTTTTAAAAAGTACGAGTGACTCCGTTGTCTGTTACGATAGAACCCATTCAGTCAGCCAATCCTGCAGGGTCTAATGTTACGCTGAGGTGTAATGTAACTGTGAGTATTCTAATGATTTAGAATAAATAAAGTCTGTTAATGAACGGGTAATGTTTTATTGCCATGTACTTTGGGGTCATCCATAAATGACGTCACGCTTTTTTGACGATTTTTACCTCCCCCCCTCCCCTCCGTCACACGTCGTCACAAAAAGCCAGACCCCCCCCCCCTAAAATGACGTCACACCTCAACCTACAACCCCCCTCAAAATTGTAGTTGAATTTTTTTAAAACATTGATATTTTTCCAAAATCTTGTCTAAACTATTACAATTTATTAAAACAGTTATCTAAAACGCGAAATAACGTCTAAAATTCGTTTTCTAACATTGCTTTTTTATAATGAAAAAATGTGACGTCGCAACATCTGAACCCCCCCTCCCCCTCATCACACATCGTCACAAAATTACGGACCCCCCCTCCCCCCTACGAGTGTGACGTCATTTATGGATGACCCCTTTACAGGGTCCACAAAACTTGACCATCCACTGGAAGTACGGCCCTTCTAGCTCTGACGTCAACAGTTTCACGTCATATCCTGTACAAAACGATATATCAGTCGATGAACCTGTGCTGGTCAGTTCTGGGACAACCTGTGTCCAGTACCGTCATACGTCAACACTGAAGTTTCAAACAGAAGACATGTATGATGGCTACATGTATGTGTGTGTGGCTACAGAAAACAATGAAGACACAATTGTTGGGAATATGACGATATACACAAAACCCGGTAGCTATCGCTCTTTTTGATCTTTTAGCATTCGTTTATCTGTTTTGATT